CAGCGCATCCTTACCCCGTCTTTTGGGCCTCTCGCGCCGGCCTGCTCCGGGATGAGCCCGTCGTGTTTGCTCGATGGGCGCCTTTCCGTCTCCTCCATTGGTGCCCTCCGCAATTCTCCTAGGATTCGGTGGTTGCGAGCTCCTCACCAAGTGGCGTTTAGGGTCGCTTCCCTGATCCCGTTTATCCGGGCGGACACGCCTGCTCGGAGAGGTTTGGGCTGACTTGTCGTGGCGCGGAATACAGACTTGAGCTGTCTGGCACCCGCGTTCCGCAGTTTCCTCACTCCGTGTGTGGGGGGCCTTGCCTCCGGGTTGCGCATTAATGCTTCTTGGAGCTCCTTGAGCCTGGCGAAGGCATTCTTCATACCCTGGTTGATACTCCGCACCTTCTGCTCGTTGACCTTCGTGAGCAGGTCTTCGAGGATCACCCCCATCTCCACTAGCTGTGGCTGGGGGGCTCTGTGCCTCTTTGTAGGCTGCTCAGTCCCTGGTGGACTCGGGGAGTCCCTGTTGCGTTTCGCTAGTGGGGTACTCGAATTGTCCCCTTCAGCGGTCCCGCTTGGGGCTGGGACAGCAGACGCTTTAGCAGCATTTCCTGGCGGGCTGCGCCGTAGGCGGGAGCCCTTCTGGAACGCTCTCAGTTCTTCATCTACATCTACACTTGTAGCATCCGGGTTGACGTCGGCCAAGTGTGCCGCCGGCGTCGCCGTGGTGGGTGGAATGGTAGTTAGGGCCTCCAGAATCCGTGCCCTAGCCGCGGAGTTTACCGCGGGTGGATTTCCACCTGAGTGGCTGCCACCTGGAGTATTATTGTTAATACCAAGCATTCCTATTCCTTTAAATGCAGCAATATACCCTGCTGCTGGGTTGCATTTTATACCTCCTGCCAGGTTGCATTTTATACCTCCTGCCAGGTTTAGATTGCTGCCGACCGATACGGTGCAGACGCAGACCATACCGCCGGCCAATATGGCTCAGACGCGGTATGGATTTGGGGAGTCGTCGCAGCTCGAGCCTGCCGGCCATTATGGCACAGACGCAGACTGATCAGCCGCCCCATTTGGGGCAGGCTAAGTGCGTTACGGGCGTGGGTTGCACCATTCGGGGCATCCAACGATGGCCGAGGATTTCTCCACGACATTAACGCTGGGGGTTATACCGCCCCTCCTCGGTCGCCAGAGCCCCGTTTTAGGGTGTGCCGCGTCGCGGAGGGGATGGCAGTTGGTCCGTTCCATGACCTTTACCACCTCGAAGGCCTCCGCTGTGCTGAGAGGGAGATTCAAGTCCCTGCCATGACCCTCTGCCAAAGGATCGTGGCCGCCGCCCGAAACAGTATGCTACTGTTTCGTCGGCCTCCCCGCATGTTAACGTCGTAACAGGCAGCTTTTAACAGCCAGCACTGGTTTGATCGCCAGCGCCGCCTACCGGCCAAGCGCCCTCTGGCGCCCACTGGTTACGGGCCGAGTTACGCGGGCTACAAGCTTACGCACTTTCGCCTTTTCCAACACTGTTACTACAGCTGATCTAACGCTCAGCTGGGATGATATGCCACTTAGTGCGGGCCGCCACATTGGTAAGAGCAATTACCAACGCGTTGAAGAGAAAGTGAAGAAAGGCTCTCGGTGAAAGAGCCACCCCCCACTTACCCCTGCCGCCGGAGCTGTGGCCATCGAGTGGACCCTTTGCGCAGAGCACCACGGTCCTAGGAACGGCGGACCGGGCATGTAGGTCCGACCCATGTTCATCCTACAACTTCACATATCACTAACACTTTTATTCGTACTAGGATTGGCCTCTATTCCGCCTCCCTGGGGGAGCGCCCCGGAAAACACAACCTCACCGTTCAGCGTACTACAACTTCGCCGTGTATTGTGTAAGTGTATTTATGTGTAGGTGTGGGTTTGTATTTAGGTATGGCCATACTAAATCCAAATTATGAAATAAAGATTTTTAACCTATCCTTATGAACTGTTTGTGTCTTACGTTTATCATTGGCTATTACTATATTATCTCTAGCACCTATTTCCGTTACTGTGTACGGACCTGTGTATTTAACATCTTATGACCTGTTTCGTTTTTTAACAAAACTTGGTCGCCTACCGATATATCTATATCGTTTACTCTATGGTCGTACAATAGTTTATTCCTATTCTTATTCGATTCTAACATAACCCTAGCTGTTTTATAAGCTAGTTCTAATCTATACTTAGATTCCTTAGTATAGTCATCTATATTATAAAGTGGTTCTATACTATCTATGCTATTGAAGTGTTTCGGTAAATTACTTGTTTTACCGAACACTAACTCATATGGACAGTAAGTATGTGGCATAGAGGAGGTCGTGTTGAAACAAAAGACGAAGTATTGAAGCCATACGTCCCAATCTTTCTGGCATTTTTGACATTTTCTTATGTACTCTTTTATGTCTTTGGACATATTTTTCCAGTAGTAGTGTCTCTGGATCTTGGCCAAGGTTTTTGTGATGCCGGTGTGACCTCCTTGTATTGGATCATCATGGAACGTAGACAAAATTGCTTCTTTATTTGTATCTTTTGATACTAGGGTCACCGGGTTGATGTCTTCAGTATCTTATTGCCCATTAATTTGAATTTATCTATTGATATTTTATCAAAGATATTTTCCCACGGTGCCACTTTGAGTTGGCTGATATTATGTATACCGGCTTGCATTGCAAGCCTTTGGAAAAATTGCCCTAAGTCGATAACTCCATTAGTATATAAATCGCCAACTTCATATCTTGCAATAATTTTCTTGCCATGTTTAAATAAACATAACATATCTTTTATATGCAAGGTCACTACTTTACGTACTTCGTCATTGTTTATGACGTCGTAAACGTTGGGCTTCGAAGCTTTATTTAAGGATTGCGTTGGCAATTCTTTTTCTTGATGTTCCGCGCGGAATTTTTGTCTACTTTGATATCGTGTAGTGACTTTATTTATTGATCCAGTTATTTTTTGTAGTTCTTTGATGATTATTCTTGATAACGCATCAGCTACATAATTGTCTTTGCCCTTCAGGTATTCTACCGTAAAATCGAATTCCTCTAATTCAAGCCTCATACGTGTTAATGGTCTATGATCCGTTTTAATTGTGAAATGATTGCCATAAATATATGGTCGAAAATGTTTTATAGCCCAATGAATAGCAGCTAATTCCTGCTCAGTAGTACTCTTGTTACTTTCTCCTTTAGTAAAGGATCTTGATGCGTATGCGATTGGAAGTTGGAGTCCATTATGGTTTTGAGTTAAAACCGCTCCACACGCTTGTTTACTTGCATCAGTTATTATGCAGAATTCTTTTGAAAAATCTGGATATTGTAACAAGGTTGGATTTATAAGTGCCGATTTAAGATGATCGAAGGCATTCTGGCATTCCGATGTCCATTCGAATTTTACATCTTTTTTGCATAACCTAGTTATGTAACGAGAATAATCGGCAAAATTTTTTATAAAGCTCCTATAGTAATTGCAAAATGCAACGAATCGTCTAGCGCTGTCCGCGTCATGTGGGACTGGATAGTTTTTTATTACGTCATATTTTTTGTCGCCAGGCAAGATTCCTTTATTTATGTCCCAAAAATGTGACTTCATGCATGAAAAATGAACATTTTTCAGGATGTAACTTTAGGTTGTGATTCCTACATGTCTCAAAAACATCAGTTAGGTTCTTAAGCATATGTTTTTCGGAACATCCTATGACTATTAAGTCATCCATATAAAGAAATGCTTGTGACGGTTCTAATCCTGAGAAAGCAATTGTCATCATTCTCTGGAATGAATTTGGGGCTATTTTCAAGCCAAATGGTAATCGCGTGAAGCGATACGAGCCATTGCTCGTTGAAAATTACGTTATATCCCTGGAACTTTTTTCAAGTTCAATTTGGTGAAAACCAGACATTAAGTCTAGGCATGAAAAATATTTAGCTCTACCTAGCTAATCTAGAATATCATCAATTCTAGGTAAAGGGAATTTATCTGACAATAGTTTTTTATTGATTTGACGATAGTCAATTACTAATCGCCATTTTTTCTTGTCAGAGTCCGGGAGAGACTTCTTCGGAACTAATAAGAGAGGGCTATTGTAAGGTGAGACTGATGGTTCAACTATTTTGTCGTCTATCAGCTTTTGTACTTGGGCCTGAATTTCTTGCACTTGGCTGTGCGGACTTCTGTAATTTTTGATATATACGGGCTCGTCATCCTTTAGTCTAAGCTTTTGTTTGTAAAAGTTATTTGTTGTTATAGATTCGGTTTCGAGTCCGAATATGTATATCTGGTGCACAGATCTTTTAATTGAGTTTTAAACAAAGGCGGGAACTTTTTGGTTAATTTGCTCATAACGAATTCATCTCTTCCTTCGTTATTTTCTTTTATTATATCATAATTATTCAAAGTTTCATATTTGATATTATTTAAATTTAGGATCTTAGTGGCATTTGTTGTATTTATAATACGGACAAAAGTATTTTTGTGATCGGATAATTATTATTATTATTATTATTATTTATTTGAAGATTTCTTCCTAACGCTACAAGTACAAAATACTTATAAGTTAATGCGCTAGTCACACAGGACAAGTTCCTTATCAGATCACATCTGTGGCGATCATGTTTTGACATCTGGCATCGCCGGGAAACTTCCCGGACTTATGCTTTGCCATCTGGCATTGCCCGGAAACTTCCCGGACTTCCAGGATTAGAGATTTATCTAAGAAGATACTCTGGTCACACTCTCTCATAAACCCACGCTACGAAAGCCCACCAAAAAGAGATCTCTCACTGATATTCAATTCGTTTACATTTATCCTCTAATACAAGTACAAAATATAGATTAAACTGAAGCCCGTTCTCGTGTTTTAATAAAGTGCAACATATTAGCTTGGTTCAAGTAACCATAACTGGTGACCCCCGACAATTCGAACATCTGCAACAAAAGCGAACAAAGTCCAACTTACCAACCTCAACATAACCTAACACAATGCCAGACCACGAGGATTTCGTCGATGCGCAGGAACCATTGCAAATCCCTGATCCGAGTGCCGTTAACTCGGTATTTGCCAAAATGCCCTTCCCTCAACTAAATTCCATTACCAACATCGAAATGTTTTTCACCAAACTGGAGAGCTGGTTTTTGCTGCAAGGCCTTGGCGCACGCAAAGAACAAGAGAAATATGCGGCAGTAATCGCGTACGCCGATCCCAAATACCTCGATCAAGTGCACGATCTTGTCAATAACCCACCACAAACGAATCCGTACTCCACACTTAAACAAGCAATTTTGTCTAAATTTGCCGAATCAGAGATGGTGCGCCTCGACAGGCTTGCGACAGGAATTCAACTCGGCGACGGTCGTCCAAGCCATCTACTCAGCCAATTTCAGCAAACAAACGCCACCAATGACGAATCGGTTGTGCGTCGCTACTGGATCAAGCGCCTACCACCACCTGCACGTGCTGTAATCGTAGGCCTACTTGAAAGCTCTCCCAACACCACCCTCGCACAGCTCGCAACTGCCGCCGACGCTGTGATGGATTCTCTCAACTACGACACTTCAGACCACATGTGTGCGGTATCACAACAAAACGCCCACCATGCTTCACAGGGGGATCGCATCACACAACTAGGTAAACGCCTAGACGACAACGACAAAATTCTGCAGCAGATCAACAACAAGCTAAGTCAACTGCTTAGCACCACAAATCAACAACGCGGTCGGAGTTACAATCGATCGCCCAGCAACAACAGCTACCGGAGCAACACACCATCCAGGGACAACTCTAACCCTCAATTGTGCTGGTACCACAATAAATACGCGGACGGTGCCCAACGCTGCATCCAACCGTGCTCTTTCCACACCAACAACAGTTCAAAAAACTAAGCACCACCGTTGGAAATCCACAGGGCAGTTCCGACGGTCGTAACGCAAATGCCCCACAACGCCTACCATTGCTCAAAGTAAACATCTGCAGAATTTCGTCCTCTAACCGTCTCTTCGTTCCAGACTCCACATCGGGAAAAAGTTTTCTCATCGACACTGGAGCTGACGTATCCGTTATACCACCAAACACAATCAATCGGCACATCGCAGCTGCTAACAGCCATACACTATTCGCAGCCAATGGAACAGCAATTCAAACTTATGGAACCACTCGCCTTACGCTGGATCTCGGTCTACGTCGCCCTTTCACATGGATTTTTACCATAGCCGACACAAAAATCCCAATCATTGGTTCAGACTTCTTGCAGCACTTTAATCTACTGGTCGACCTTAAAAACTCAAGATTAGTCGACGTCGAAACACGCCTATCATGCTGTGGAATGTTTAGCCAACAATCAACCTCGGAGATCAGGACATACAACATTCACTGCGAGTTCTCCAAACTACTGGAAGAATTTAAGGACATCACACAGCTCAACTCAAGTCCTCCACAAGCAACAGCCACCAACGTCACACATTGCATCGAAACCAAAGGATCTCCACCATTCGCTAGGCCCAGAAGGCTTACTCCAGAAAAATTCCTAGCAGCAAAAAGTGAGTTCCAGTACCTAATCAACCTTGGCGTTTGCCGCCCGTCAAAGAGCCCTTACGCCTCCCCGTTACATATGGTCCGTAAGGCCACTGGTGAATGGCGTCCATGCGGTGATTACCGAGCCCTCAACGCAAAAACCACCCCAGATCGGTATCCCTTACCGCACATACAAGACTGTACTCATATATTTTACGGGAAACACGTTTTTTCAAAGATCGATCTAAACCGAGCTTACCATCAAATTCCCATCGAGGCCCGAGAGATTCCAAAAACGGCCATAACTACTCCTTTCGGTTTATTCGAATTCACCCACATGACATTCGGGTTGTGCAACGCGGCACAAACATTCCAACGATACATGCATACTGCACTGTCAGAGATGGATTTTGTCTTCGTTTATGTCGATGACATTGCGGTCGCATCAGTCAACATGGAGCAGCACCAACTTCACCTCCGCCAAGTTTTTGAACGACTACGACAATTCAACCTCACCATTAATCCAGCAAAATGCAGTTTCGGAAAAAAGTCGATCGAATTCTTAGGACACCATATCGACTCAAACGGCATCAAACCCCTGCCAGAAAAAGTCAAGGCCATCTCGGATTTTCCACTGCCCAAAATCGCTAAGGAGCTACGCAGGTTCTTGGCAATGATTAATTTTTACAGGCGATTTTTGCCAAATGCAATCCAGCACCAGGCACCACTAAATCAACTCATCCCTGGAAATAAGAAGAATGACTCAACTCCAATCACTTGGACTGCCGCCACCATCAACAATTTCAATGAGTGTAAACGAACCCTTGCAGAGGCAACACTACTCGTCCACCCAGCACCGACTGCGCCACTGTCTCTCTGTACAGATGCAAGCGATTTCGCAGTGGGAGCCGTGCTACATCAAGTCGTCGACAATCAGCTACAACCAATGGGATTCTTCAGTGTAAAACTAACAGAAACGCAACGCAAGTATAGCACATACGATCGAGAGCTCCTCGCCATATACCTCAGCATTAAACACTTTCGCGACATGCTAGAAGGACGAACATTTGACATTCGCACAGATCATAAACCTTTGGTATACGCTTTTTCGCAGAAACCGGAAAAAAGCCTCTCCACGACAACTCCGACAATTGGATTTCATCAGCCAATTCACCACCTCTATTGTTCATGTGGCTGGAATAGAAAACACTACTGCTGACACGCTTTCCCGCATATCATCCATCGACCGCGAAATCATCGACTACAAGCAACTCAGCATCGCACAAGCAAACTGCGAGGAACTAAAACGACTACTCAGCGACAACACCACAGCATTGCAGTTAAAGTCAATCAGCATTCCCAACTCTACAAACTCTGTAATATGCGATCTATCCACATCCAGCGTTCGACCTTTTGTTCCAGAGTCACTAAGGAAGAACGTCATCAGCAAACTACACAACATTTCTCACAGCGGAGTTGGATCAACGATAAAGCTCATCAAACAACGGTTTGTATGGCCCTCAATGCACAAGGACACTTCGCAATTCGTAAAACACTGCGTTCCTTGCCAATAATCAAAAATTTCCCGACACGTTCGCTCACCGCTACAGCACTTCACGCTTCCTACTGAAAGATTTGACCACATCAATCTGGATCTCATCGGACCATTACCCCAATCAGGTCAATATAGATACTGCTTAACAATCATTGACCGTTATACACGTTGGCCGGAAGCCATCGCAATCGAGGACATGCACGCCAACACGGTAGCCTCAGCACTCATCGGCTCCTGGATCTCAAGATTTGGAGTTCCAGCCCGCATCACAACAGACCAAGGAAGACAGTTCGAGTCCAAATTGTTCCATGAATTGTCACGAATGCTTGGAATAGATCACCTTCGCACAACAGCATATTACCCGCAAGCAAATGGAATCATCGAACGCTGGCACAGAACACTTAAGGCAGCCATCATGTGCAAGAATCGCATGAATTGGCCACAGAAACTTCCAATGATCCTGCTCGGTTTGCGATCAGCATTTAAGCCAGACATCCAAACAACATCAGCACAACTTGTGTACGGCACAACCCTTCGCCTCCCAGGAGAATTTTTTCATCAAAAGTCAAACTTCCAACCGCAGACAGAGTTCGCAAAGGAACTGGAGGAAATTATGCGAAAAATACGGCCAACCCAGACGGCACACCATGACTCATCTAAGCCCTTCGTTTTTAAAGAGCTGGAACATGCAACTCACGTCTTCTTACGCAACGACACCGTCCGTGGATCTCTTCAGCCGCCTTACGATGGACCCTTTGAAGTAAAGGAAAAGCAAACCAAATACTTCACCATAAACACCGGCGCCCGATGCATCACAGTTTCTATTGACCGACTCAAGCCAGCCTTCATAGAGGCTCAGCAGCCAACAAACACACCATCACCTTCACCAAACCCATCCAGTAACCCCAACATCAGGACTGAAGACATCACGACGACCCCTGCAGCTAATCAACCTTCAAGACCTCGTCGCACGATTAGACTCCCTGTTCGTTTCACAACATGAACTCTAGGGGGAGTACTGTGGCGATCATGTTTTGACATCTGGCATCGCCGGGAAACTTCCCGGACTTATGCTTTGCCATCTGGCATTGCCCGGAAACTTCCCGGACTTCCAGGATTAGAGATTTATCTAAGAAGATACTCTGGTCACACTCTCTCATAAACCCACGCTACGAAAGCCCACCAAAAAGAGATCTCTCACTGATATTCAATTCGTTTACATTTATCCTCTAATACAAGTACAAAATATAGATTAAACTGAAGCCCCTTCTCGTGTTTTAATAAAGTGCAACATATTAGCTTGGTTCAAGTAACCAAACATCTATATGTTATACAATTTTTAATTATTCTTATACTAAAATTAAAAACTACGGTCGCTTTGTTTTATTTTATGTCACATTTTGATCTTGAAAGTGTGCAATAAGTTTTGCCTTAAACTGTGCGGCACTGCTAATATTTCTTAGATAGCTTGGTAATTGCATATAGCATAGATAAAGTACTTTCGTTCAGAAAGCAGGGATCTGTGCCTTATTTGTATAATAATATTTGACCTTCGTGAAGTGGAGAATCTAAGTGTTTCATACAAATAAATTGGTAATTTGGAAAAAATTATTTTTTGTAAGTAAACTAACACTCTCATTTTTATCCAATCTGCCAAGTGGAGTTAAAATATATTGTATGATAGTCTAGTTACGTGATCAAATCGTCGCAAATTAAATAAATTTTAAATTTTAAGTTTGTGCTGGCTGTTTGAGTCGCAATTAGCAAATAATTCGATCCCATAGAATAGTGTAGGGATCAGGCAAGATTTCGCAAGCAACATTCTTACATTTAGGGGTAGAAAGTTTCTAACCAAATAAAGCGACCTTAGCAATCCATACGTTTTCCCAACCGCGGTGTTAATGTGATCACTCCAGTTTAGCGTATTATTTAAAATAAAACCCAAATTGGTCGCTCTTTCTACGTATTCAATAGGACTGTCATTTAAAAGTAAAGGCCCAATATTAAGACTGAGTTTCTTTTTATAAATAATTATCCACTTGGATTTTGACGGATTCAGTCCTAGTCCGTTTTCTTTTGCCCAGTTGCTTATTTTGACCAGTTCATTATTACATATGTCTACACACTCATTTATTATATGTAGGGGATGGCTCACATACATTTGGACGTCATCTGCATACATATGGACATCACAACTTGACAACATGGATGGAAGATCATTTACATAAAGGGTGAACAAAAGCGGACCAAGTACAGAACCTTGCGGCACACCGCCGACGACACATTTGACACTACGACAGATTGACGACGGTTTAGTAAATACGATGTCATTAGTTTGAGAGCAGTTTTTGAGAATTTGAACTGATTTACTAATTTTGCACATAGGACATTAAGATTAACGGTGTCAAAGGCTTTACTATAGTCAAGTAGTACAAGAAGCATCACATTGGAGTTGTCAGCATATTCTCGTATATCATTTGCTATTTTTAAAATTGCTGAAGTGCATCTGCGGTGTTTCCTAAATCCTGATTGGTTATTATTCAGTAAAGCGTTATCATGGATAAACGAGTTAATTTGAGATGCCATTATATTCTTAAAGGCCTTTGATAGATACGGGAGAATAGAAATGGGCCTATATTCTTTGTTTGCCTTCGGAACAGGGATAATTTTTGCGATTTTCCAACGGTCTGGAAACGTGAAAGTTGTAAAGGCCGTGTTGAATATATATGTTATGTATATTAGGATTTTCGGTAACAATACTTTTATAAATTTAGGATTCATGTCGTCAAGTCCAACTGCGTCTGATTTGATTTTAAG